CTTGCGGCTAAGGAGATCGAGAAGAAATTCTTCCGTGGAAAAACGGTCGAAAAATGGAGTAGTTAACAACAGTAGCAATGCCGCCGGCGATGATAATTCGATTTCAATTTCGGAAAAATTGGAAGCTCTGAAGCAACTTCTCCCAGTCAACAATGGCGAACTAAAAGCAGATCAGTTATTTGAAGAAACAGCTGATTATATTGTTCTTCTCAGAACTCAAATCTTCGTTTTACAGAAACTGCTCGATTTTTGTGACGATGCATCTGGTCAGTCCCAACATATTAATGCTGTATAGTTAGTAGTAATTATTTCCTAATCGAATTTTTATTCTTAGTAGTTAGGTTCTCAATTGAAGGTCAGTAGTTACTAGTAATTTATAGTGACAAAAATCTGAAATACATTCTAATTTTTTTTTTTGAAATTATTGTTACGATATAGTACTGATAAAATATGTTCCATAAAATTTGATATCGTAATAATAGTTTCAATCAAAATTGAAATATGTTTCAGATCTTCTCTTAGTTATATGGTAGAGTTCTACATTTCTTTGAATCTTTCTGAGTTTTAGCGCTGCTGAGCGTATATTTCTGTAACGTCCCTAATGGGAATATTTCATTCAGATAAATTATATATTATGCTTTGAACAACTCCTTTTCATTGTTCCCCTTTCATGATTGGAAGTTTACTTCTCCCAAAGAATTATTAGTCGAGAGGTATTAGATAGCTCTATAATTATTTATTGTATCGTTTATATCTTAGTAATAAAATAAATATATAGTTTTTAGATAATTAATTTGGTTTTCAACCAAGCGATTAATGAAGATACATTGAAAAGTAAAAAAAATTTGTAATTCTAGTAATGTTGATTATATAGTCAAAAACATTTGTAATTCTAGTAATGTTGATTAAAAACTAATCTCAGTATTTTGGGACATTTTCAATGTTTTTTACACAAAATAGTTGTAGAAAAATAAACAAAAATGTCATGTAAACTTAGATTAATATAATATATAAATATATTTTTTAATTTAGCTTTAATTAATTGATATTTATGTCGTTAATGAGAGGGGAATATAATGGGTTTGATGTTATGGTATCACATGCTTTGTTATCAATGGCTGTGACAAGTAGTACTACCACTACTAATTCCCACATGTGCACCATCTCCCTATTTATGAGAGTCGAATGAATGTTTGAATGGTCACTCGTACGGGGTATAAAATTGAATTAAATTATAAATTGAGTTAATTGAAAAAAATTTGAGTAGTAATTTAGTTTGACTTGGTTTAATATTGGAAAAAAATCCCGATTATATTTGGGTGGTTTGATTTCAAGTAAAAAAAAATCAACTCGAGATTAAATCAATCCGATATATATAATTTTAAAATTTTATTTTATACGTAAAATTACTTATTTTGATATAATTTTTAAATATCACTTATACTTTTTCATAATTTTTATCTTTTAATATATTTATTTCATGTTTTGAAGTTATAATTCTTAATAATCTAATAAAGATTATAATCTATACATGTTGGTAATTATAACAAAGTCTAAATAAAAATTAATTTAATACTAATGCAAAAGAAAATCAAATGAACACTAAGTATGGCAATAATATTGAATATTTTATATTTTAGTTTTACATAGATTTAGACAATTAAAATACATGATCTAATTTTACTTCTTTTAATATTTATTCATGTAACTAATACTTTCTAAACTTATTTTAGCATGATTTAGCACTATAAATAATGATCAATTTCATTATGACTTATTAATTTGCAATAGTTTTTTACGCGATTTTATTATTATTTTTTGTTGGATATTTTAGTGTCATTAATCATATCACATTTTCTGTTATTTTCTTGAGAAATAACTTGGATTGTTGCATTTTTGTAGAACTAACGAAATATTTGAAGTAAAAGTAATTTATATGTTTGTATGAAAATTTTATCGAAAAAACTCGAAAATAAAAAAAAACCCAAAATATCCAAAAAAAAACCGAAGTTGAAAATCGAGTTTTATTGATTTGATTTGGTTTATAAATTTAAAAATCCGACACAAATAGTTTGATTTGATATTTGAAAAACCCGAACCAATCAGGTCATTTACACCCCTGATCACTCAATTTATAATAAATAGTTATTAAAGTTACTTTATTTTATTTTATTCTAGGTAAGTTATTTAACTTTGCCTTAGCTAATCTGATATCAATTGGTTGGACTTGAATTTAATAGTTATTTCTTGATTTGTCCGTTAATTAAAATTATTATTTAAATTTTAAATTATTAACAATCTTAAAACACCATCTAGTTGATCAACTAAACTTAAATACGCTTTCGATTGGTCACATGATATACAAGTGGTCTCAAACTCTTCTATAAGAGCATGCACTACATAAAAAATGAGTTTTAGCGGCTATTAGCACTCTTTGTATATGTTTTTAAAGGCTTTAGTGACATTAGATATAATGACACTTAACTAATGCCGATACTAAAGACTTTAGCACTCTACATTAATGTGTCTATTTATCGCTGCTAAAAGTTATTTTTGTTTAGTGATGGAACTTTTAATAAAAAGTCGAGAAAAGTATTGAAAACAACTTAAACTTGAAGAGAATTTAGGAGTACAGTTAATCAAGTAAAAATATATTTTTAAAATTGTCAATAGTTTAAATCAAACTAATAATTCACATCAAATTTACGTCAAAATTAAAACTGTTTTCATACCCAAAATGCTCACTTTTGAATTTGCTCATGTAAAACAAATGTGGTCAGATTATGACTTTTAAACTCATTGTTTTTTATGCCAGATAAGAACACCTAGTATTATAAAAGGATGAAGACAATGTCTATAGTTAAGAAAACTAGTTAATACACCATTTAATTTATAGTAAAAAATGTAACTACTAATCAAGAAATTGTTTCAAACACAACAATAATATTTTCTAAACGAGTTCCAACATTATATTATAAAGAAAATAAATTAACAACGTAGATTAAACTATTCTCACCACATGTACACAACAATTAATATTACTAGACCACCATAACTAGAAAACACACCCAAGATTAAATTAAATAAGAATACCTCACATATTACAAGTTTCTATACTTTTGAAACTACATATAAAGGATATAAATACTTATATTTAACTATTCTTAATGGATTAATGATTTATCGTATAAGGAAATTGAGTATTAATTGTTATCCCAATTCATTTGAAATGGGTTGACTATATAAAAAGTGTCTCATATAAAATATTTAAGTAATGAACTAAGAGAATATGATAGATTAGTGACCATTCAACACAAGTAAGTTTGTAATTTCTTTACTCTATTTTCTCGAAAACACAATTACCAACATTAGAAATGTGCTCCATATAAAAAATATTTTTCATAAAAAAATGTGTTTGTGGAATTATTTTTTTTTGAAAAGTAAGTGTGGGGATGGAATTAGGGGCTAAAGATGAAGTGTATTGAAAGGTGAGAAAAATACAATATTTTAAAATATTATTTGTGGAACTTCATTTTTCTACTTATACTAGAGAAGTCATTTCTTCTTCTTCTTTTTTTAAGAAATTCGTTTTCCAAAAAGAATATCTTTTCAAACTTTTGACCCTCGGCGCCAAACAAATCTACCATAAGGTGATTTTGAGGAAAATATAATCGAACGACAATCACTATAACAAAGATAATTTTTATCGGCAACAAAAAAGATATCTTAATAAAGAGTGCTAAAGTCTTTATCGGCATTTGGGAAGTGTCATTAAATTCAATTTCGCTAAAATCTTTAGGAACATATATAAAGAATATTAATTGCCGTTTTCTAATTAATTGCCGCTAAAGCTCATTTTTTATATTGTGAATGAATGAAAATGTATATTTCCAAAACTATTTAATATCTCCAGTATGATAATTCATTGCTTGATATAATTTCAATTTTCAACATGTTCATTTCATCTAGTGTGTCCATTGACTAAAAGCACATAAAAAAGTGGATCTGAAACATATATATCACACGTCAACATTCAAAAGATTATATGGAAAAACATTAGGTTAAATTCTTAAAGGTGATCACTTTTATTCAGACAATTATTGGAACAATAATAAAGTGAGTATTAATTATAAATTAAATGGAGACAGAAATATTAGTTCTTTCCTTTAATATTTTTTGGTTTGTTTGTCTTAATATAATAATGTGAGGCTCAAATTAAATAGGTAGAAAATAAGTGAAACATAAATTAAAGCAAAAGGATTATCTTTGACACATCAAAAACTACAATCGGCCTTTGTAAGAAATTAGGGAGGTTTGTGACGATTTTTCTATCTTTTCTACCGTTAATTAGTATTCTTATGCGTGATGATAATTAATTTGATTGTTGTCATCTGACTCTATTATGGATTTCCGATGTATTTTAAAACACATTAAATTCGTTCATTTTTACTTGTTATAGTTTTCTTTTGTAGAATTAAATTATAAAAACTGTGACTAATATTTTACGATGTATTTTTTCATTATATTGATATGCAAAAAATTAAAATTTATAGTACTTTCATATAGTTTTTAAATATTGTTTTTTTTATTTTTAATATCAAAATAATATTATCTAATTAAACTTTGAAAATTAATCAAAAATTACCACTCGAAAAATTTACGTTCTATCTTACTATTCTGAGTCAGTTTTAGACATTTAAGGGACAATTTACAAAAATTAGGTGATTTCCTTAATTTTTCATGTGTGTTAGCCCATGAATATTTTGGTGATATGCCTTCCGAATGATTTCTTTATGAAACCTTTACGAAACCCTCTATAAAGTGTTACGGAAAATTACGTATAGTCTCACAATTTTCAAAGTCTATTGTGAGCACTTAGGGGCTTATTTACACGAAGAAGCCCATAAAAATTTATGTGTGTTAGCCCATGAAAATTTTGATGATATGATGACAAATAAAAATGAATAAACGGATTAATAATTAATGGTAGTCCAAAAAAATCAAGAGAGTAAAATTTTTTACCTTTTTATTGCCATGTGGTCCAAGATGGGTGCTTTTAACATTGTTGATTCTGACACCATCTTGGACAAATGAGTTTACAAACTGAGAAACAAATTACATTTAAAAAAACAAACAAACATAAAACATAACACACTTGGTAACAAACCCACACTTACAACACATTAAAAAATACATGAATTTAAGCAGAAAAACACACAAATCTTCCTTCAATTTCCTATGATGATTTAATCCATTCAATAAAATTTATCAAATTTTGGTGAGACTTTCCACCTTCTTTCACTGAGTTCATATTCATTTCCTTGATTTGCATAGCTCTTTTCTTGAATACATCATTCCCTAACAATTGTTCCACTTTAACCTTAATTTCTCCACAACTAATAATCCCATTATCCCCTTTCTTTAGTCCTAATCCAACTTTCCATATATCACAAACATAACTTTGGTTCATAAATTGGTCAGCAAAATAAGGCCAACACAAGATTGGAACCCCGTTACTCATTGCTTCTATCGTCGAATTCCAACCACAGTGACTAACAAAACAACCTATACTAGAATGACTCAACACCTTTTGTTGTGGTGCCCAACTCACTATTTTCCCCTTTTGCCTCCCTATTTTTTCTTCAAATTTTTTCAAGAAAATGTCACTTTTAGTATCTAGAGTAGTAGTTCTCACAACCCATAAGAATGGTTTGTTTGATAGTTCAAGCCCTAATGCCAATTCTTGAAACTGAGTTTCATTGAATATTGTGAAGCTCCCAAAGGCTACATACACAACTGAGCATAATGGTTGTTGATCAAGCCAGTCTAGACAAGTTGAGTCCTCGGGCCAGAACGATCCGGCTAGTGAATTAGGAGATTCTCTAGAAGATATAAGGGCTTCTGCTTCAAGTGACAACGCGTTTGATTCGAGTGAGTTGTTTGAAAAAAGTGGACCTATAGGCACTATCTCTGGTGCTAGTTTGAAGGCTCCTGGTTCAAGATCATATGTTGAGTTGCAAATAAGCCAATCTGCTGATTTCACAGATTTATTGTTGTGAACCAACATGTTGAAAATGATTTTTTGCATTGTTGAATTCCCCATGCTTGTCCAAAGTAAATCTGATGTGTTCATGATTGGCATAGTTGGTTCAAACTGAAAAGTATGATCTTTTATTCTTGGAGTCCCTGCATTATAGGGTTAACAAAGTTTCACTTGTGGATACAGAGATTACGTTTTATGCACCGATGATATGAGTAAATAAATCTCTATGATAAGTATTGATTGTTAACCTGGTAAGAATTAGTAATAAGGATGTCCACTAAGGAGTTCAAAATATGAAAAAGTAAACACTCGAAAATTAAAAGGAAGTTCAACATCTACTGTATAAACCCCTTCAGTTATTTGGAAAAGTAATCACAGGGGATTCAGTTGTTTTTTACTTCACCCTTCAGGAAGGCGTAATACAACATATCACATACTAAACTACACCGATATTATTAAAAAAAAAAAATCTTTACACAAGTCAGTAATATGACTTGACCCAAACATAAAAACATAGATTAGTATAGAAAAGTACTTACCATCATTGTCAATCAAGCCATCATGAATCAACTTTGGAATGTTAAATCCAAGTATCAAATTAGCAGCTGCAGCAGTTATAAAGGCTGCTCTCTTAATTCCCATTTTGTCTGCAAGTTCCAGAGCCCATCCAAGGCTCTGATCAGCAATAATGCAAGTAATCCTTTCGTCTTCCGATACATTAGTTACTTGAATCAACTTCTCAATTTTTCCAGGCATGATTTTAAAGATTGCTTCAGATAATTTACCTGGCACATTCTTATCCTCCCCCGATTCCGATTCATCTAAAACTGAAATCAGATGAATCTGATCATGCAAACTATTTTTTCCTGATAAAGAATTCAGAATACTCTTGTGTGTGGACTCTGTGTTGACAAAAGTGATCTTGAAGCCATATTTAGCTAAGGATTGAGCTAGCTGCATTAAGGGAATAACATGGCCTTGTACTGGATATGGTATTATCAATATGTGTAGTTTGCTCATTCTTGTTTCCTAATCTTTGATGTTCAAATGAAAACTAAACTTCCTAGGTGTACATTTTGGTGGAGAGAGTTGGAAATTTATATGGTTTAACTATTAACGGACGACAAATTTGGACCATTTTTAGTAATACAAATAACACGATAATTGAAACAAAGGAAATAACATGTAATTTCAAAATCGAAGAATAAGATAATAAGAGAGTACTGTTAACAATTATCATACAGTATGTCATATCACATAAGTTAATTCCAATAATTATCAACTTTGGTGTTTTGTGTATGAAATTGAAGTTGAGGAATCTTGTACCATTTCTGTTACACCAGACTACAATAATTTTTCAGTATTTAATAGTCAAGTTTCTTCTTATTTGGGGCTAATTTAATAGTGGGGTTGAAGTCCAAACAGAATAACGACAGCTTTACCATTAATAAACAAAGAGATCACATCCAAAATAATGCCCCAGCTGATATATCAAAAATAAAGTTTGTGTACCAGAAATAATAAACTTATTATTCTAGAGATAGACTAGAAATCAACAACAATAATATAAAGTATGTCAATAAGTTCAAATGGATATTAGATTTGATTATAGAACCGCTGATACCATATTTCAATGTATGACTATCTCATCTAAAAGCTTAAACTGATAAAACACAGCTTTATTAGTTAATGATATTAATGTATAGATTGTTTATGCAACAAAATAACAAATGATATAATAATGCACGAATACAAACCAATAACATCATAAATAGCCATTGTCAAATGAAAAGCCCACCCCAACATCAGTTCTTTTTTATTATTCTTTTCATTTACTGATGCAGGAATTCAAAATCTCTGATGTGAGGTATGATGTATTATAGTTACAACATGAAAGCATATATATAGACAGAATACCAATAAGAACAATGCAAGTCCAGAATAATATATGTAGTATTATTGCCTGAGCCATATTTGATATTCTGGTCCTTTATCGACAAACTTTTGCCAGGTACCATCCAAATGAACTTCTTTGGAAGGATTCCAGTCCAAATGACCAAGTTTCATCACAAGAGTATCTCCAATCTGTGCAACGTAACCATCACCGTTTGCATGATATATCTTTAACGGGCTACGACAATGGATTCCAGCTCGTCTACGTGCCTCAATTAACTCATTTATGACATCACGGATTCCAAATTCATAGAAATGATCGTAAAATATTACAGGCTGCAATGACGAATAGAAGCTAGTAAGACTAGGTTATAGCAAAACAACATAAGTTAAAGAGCTCATTGTATGCGTGTAAGGAGTCCACAATTCCGCTAGCACACTCATGCAGTACTCAGTTTGGATCTCACTAGTCCCTTCTAGTTTAAAAGCTACTAATGTAGGTGAAAGGAAACTAAATGTTATTTGGTAAAAGAAAAACAAGGGAGCTTTATGTCACGGACTTAGAGTATTTGCTAAGACTCCATGCGGCACTTGACACAACTTACTCACGAATCTTTCACGATCTTCTAAGCTCAAGTAAGCCTTTAAGACTTAGATCGCTAAGAGAATGTAAAGAAAGACTTAGAAAGAACTTTGAAAGAAGGGCTTGTATTATACTTGTAAGACTTGCTTACAACTTTGCTTGGTTGGATTGTTGGATGATTTACAAATGAGAGCTCTTCTATTTATACTACCTCCTAAGGGCCTAAGTGTAATAAAAATTACTCTACAAGTCCCTAAAGTAATTACACTTTAGTCCATATTCTCGAGAATTCCACATTTTCTAGAATATGTTAAACTCTTCCAAAAGTATCTAAAGTATTCTAAGGAATTCTCTAGTCTTCTTGATTAATCTAGAAGGTTCTAGAATTCTCCGCAAACGTCTCCACAACTCTAGCCCCTTCCGCCTCTTTCCGATGCAAAATTTAACTAGGATGTGGCGGGACGTCACATTTAGCTACTCAATTTACTTCGGAGAACAATTTTTTCTCTTCTCCTTCTTAAAGATCTACCACAAAAATCAACGAAAACAAAGATTACCGTTCCAGGGTGGGTTAAAATATATGCATATCCTTGAGTAAGCTTGTCCCGAGGAAATGGCCAGTGGCCCTGAAAGAAAGGAATATTATTTGTTATTACATGATAAGATGTTTGGTATTAACATGTCTAAATCAGAATAACATTATCCGATTTGCAGCAATCAGTGAGTAAATGCATGAAAGCAAATTACGTATCAGCTCACGAAGCAGATAAAAATTACAATTAAATAGTACATACAAACAATAAACACTCCTCAAAGCAAGTTGAAGTTGGCTATATGAATTCTCAGTGTCCATTTAGGTTCATCTCTAATAGTCCATGGCAACTAATATCCAAGTCACTTAAAAAAAATTATAGCTCAGATATAACTATGAAATTTGCTAAAGACACTTCAGATACCTAATGTACAATAGATCAACTGAAGATCGTTACGTACTCTGCAAACTTAACTCTGATAATTGACCTCTACCATTGAAATTGTATGCGAAAAAATAAAGTTAACTAGTTCCATTAGGCCCCAGTCACAAAGAAAGATTCGTGTGGAATTACTCTGCTTTTAAGGTATGACGAATCCCACATCGGTGATAAAAGGGATGGGTGGTCTTTTTGTTTTGCTTGGACAATCCCCACCTTGTGAGCTTGCTTTTGGGGTTGAGTTTGCCCCAAGATCAATTTCTTAACATGGTATTTCCCGATGTTGGATCCCCGTATTAAATTGGCATGCTCCAGATGTCTAGCCCGTGTGTGTGTGTCTGTATGGTGTGGGGGGGGGGGGGGTGTCCCACATCAACAGTAAAAGGGATCTGTGGTCTCTTTCTATAACTTGGACAAGCCTCACCTCTTGAGCTAGCTTTTTGGGGTTGAGTTAGGTTCAAGATCCATTTCTTAACACAAGGTAAAACATGTAAGTTGGATAGAAGGCACATACATCAAATGTAGGACAGTGCAATCGAAAATTAGTAAGTAAAACATGGGAGCATATGTGAGTAATGACGGATCCAGAAATTCTAACAAGGAGATTAAAGAACATAAGAATATCACACTTGGAGGAACTTGCAAGCTAAAGCAATTTCTGAATTGCCTAGCCGCTACACTTATCGTGTTTCTTACATCAAGGAATTCAAAAATAAAAATTACCCTTAGATCTGCCACTATATGTGAGGGAGGCAGTAGGGTTGCGTGTGTGAGTGTGTATGTGTGTGTGTGGGGTGGGGGGGGGGGGGGGCAAGTATCAAATGATTTAGGCCAAGATATAAGACGGTAATCAAGTCAGCCTTAACTGCTAGCTAGCACTTCCATAATACATGTCTCGGTTAGCTAGGGTACTAACTCTGATCTATGCTCAATAGATCCTTCCGCCAAGTTTTGTTTTGGTATGCAACATCATAGACTAAACATTATCACTTGGTGAGCTTAAAGTTCAGAATTTTAAATCTCTCAAGCCTGAATCTCATGCTTCACTACTCCGTTTATTAGATTTCCAACAACAAATGCGAGTATAAAACTGCAGATTGAAAGTTTATGGATCAGATATGAAAATCTAATATTATATTATCAGAATATATATTTGGAACATACACTACAGAATACCCCAAGATTTTGGTGTTCCATGAACAAAGCAAAATTTTACCAGAAACATTCCTCAAGTTGGCCAAAAGATTGAGTGGTTCCCTCTAAAATTATAATTAACAGATAACATCTCCGTCTCCAAAAATTTAGTTCTTTTTGCAAAGACCTTAACATTCCGTCAAACTTCAACAGAACTGTCATGTGCACCTCATGTGAACGTTCTCCTTTCCCCTTTTCCAGGAGAACTTCTGCCTCTCCCATCCTCATGCTCCTTTTCCCCAGTGAGAAACATTACACATGCCTCTGGGAAACACCAAGGTTTCAGAAAAGTCATTTTATGAGGCTAAATTTCATTGCTCACATTGGAGTTGTTGACACATGAAGGTGGATATACATGCGCTGACATGGAACAGTCTGGTTTTGTAAGGTTTGATAAATGTTTGGCATGCAAATTCAGATCTTTTGAATTCCTAAGGTGTTTGCTTCAATGTCTTTCAGCTCCTCCTATTTCACATGTTTCCTGAGATCATCATCCCGGGTGTTTGCAACAATCAGAGGGTTCTGACCAAGGCTAATGAAGAAGGAAATAGTATTAGTTACGCATGAAACTATTATCTTAAGTTTCAGACTTTGGGCAATTTATTTGTGTATTTGTTTCTTTGGGCCAGTCTGAACCTAGCATGCTTTCAAGTTTCAACAGTCACTTAACCGAAAATCTCACGGCAATAAACTTTCCTTTTCCAGAACAGAAGTGCTCAAATTCTGGAGGCCGTGAAAGGCGAGTTTAAATTTACGTGTATGAGAGGGCTGCCTTGGTACTTCCATGTCTCTGACATGAGGTCTTAAGTTTCTTTATGATGGAGTATGGACTATGGAGATCCCACTTATGGTTATCCTGAACCTTCGGCTTCATCCCTCAATATACCAGCTACAGGAGATTGATTCGTTGTTGGAACAGTTGAATCATGCTGGCAGTTAAGAAGAATGGTGGGAGAAGCTGCAGAAGCTGATACTGTTCCTATTCTGCGAGCCGAGATGGAAAGAGAAGAAACCAAAGCAGAAGAAGCAGAGTGCTCATGTGCTGCTTGCATGACAGTCTCTTTATCCGAAAATGACAATTAAATTTGGGACCAAATTTGTTAAGATTTTTGAAAGTGGAAGGCATACCAGACGGATCTACTTTAGCTTTTGGCCAAAAACTCTGAAACAGAGGTTTATAAAGGTGAATGTTGACATATTCAACCTCCATGGCAGTGCATTTAAGTTGTAGCATGTCTCACTGAATGAGTGAGAGCACAAGTAGGCATGTACATCTGTATGTTTGTGTGTGCGCTTGTTAGAGCAAGAAAGAGAGAGGACCTGTGTGGATCCAGTATCATGATTCTCCAAAAATGTGACAGCACGTGAGGGCCACCATCCCATCACTCCGGTTGGCTTGCCTTGAGGATCAATTAACCTCCAATATTGGTTATGCAAAGCAGAATGCAGTATACCCTGCCAGAAAAATATCATTCACCAACAGGTTGAAAAGCTCATTAAAACCTTTCTGCACTAGTATGAAGAAGCAATTTAAATCTAAATCAGGAGGATGAAAATATTTACCTATAGATATCTTAGCATGAATTGATTATTAAAGGTTGATTTATTAACGAGTAGATTATGTGGGACAATAGATTACAGGGAACTATTATTTCCCAGGTTAGTGGGATAATTCTTGGTCTTGGAGTATGATACAGAAATCTACAAACAAAAGATGTTCTAATAGAAGTACCTTTGTTGTGACATCGAATGCTGAAGAGCTCCCACCAGTAGCATTGATCCAGTTAATTATGCGTTGGCGATGGGCATCTGGATGCATCAGAAGTCAGAACAACACAAATCTACTATCATAAGGAACTGGTGGATTTCCACATAGTGGGATTAGCCT